TACATGGATCTTTTACTGGTCTTATTTTTCCATTTATTTTCATTAAACCTATGATCGGATCCTTCTTTATTTTCATCAGTATTACGAACTGATTTAGAAGACTGATTGCTCTTTAATTTTTGCCTATGCTGATTGTTATGATTCTTATTGTTCGCCTTATCCTTACCTCTGAACCAACAGTTTTTGTTTATGTGGCCTAGCTTACCACAAATTTGACATTTTGCTGGTTTATGTTTAATCTTACCTTTGGACAGAAAGGCTGAATCTGAATTTGCATTTTTACCAAATTCAGCGTCTTGCAATAGCTTAGATTTTATGAGCTCAGTAGTCAGAGTTACGTTGGAGTTTTCAAGTGCCATACGCATGGGATAATACTCTGTAGTTAAACCCTTTAACAACAATGCAGCTAATAGCTCATCATCTATTTTTTTGTCCATTGAGACTAGTCTGAGATTTACTGACATTACAGCATTAACATATTCCTGCATGCTTTTATAGTCGTCAAGTTTCAAAGAGCACAAATCAGTTAAAATACTTATCCAACTATTGACTCCCTGATCTTTGAATAATCTTTCCAACGCGTCCCAGGCTTCCTTTGCTGTTGCTGTCTGGACGACGTAATATTTAACTTGGACCTCCAATGTCAGACAAATGATGGCTCTAGCTTTCTCGTCCTTTTGTTTCTTGATGGATACAGGCGTTGTGTCTTCTGCAGGATATCCTTAGACTGCTGACCACACAGTTTCAATCATTAGAATATTTTGAATATCGAAGCACCATTCTCTATAATATTCGCGTCCTTTGAGCCTATCAATATTCGTGAAGGGCTTCGAAGTGGCTATGATGAAACTTGTTTCTTTGTCTTGATAGCGGCGTCAGTCTGAAAGATCACTTTTAAATAATACTTTTCACTTCTATACTTTTTACACTTATCAGTGATACGATCCTGGGCCCATAACCTGTTATTTTTGTTACTTCCATGTGGATCGAATGATAAGTGAGAATCAGTGTTCACTCTACTCCTGCTTTATTAAGACACTGAAATTTGTCAGAGTCAGAGTCAGAGTTACATTGCAACTGACGGTCAGTCAGTAAGTCTTGGTGTCGAGCCCCATTTGGGGCTCATGACCAGATATTAATTATTATCGTTTGACAGTTACGGCCTTGTTTCTTTGGGGCACCTTCTCTGACGAGAGGACGGGTCTGTCTTTTGTATATGCTGCTGGCTCTTGCCAGCACAGTCTTCCTCAGGTCCAAGATCCGTGGGACTCGTGACCATAATTTACTGTCTCAGAACTGAGACTTGAGAGAGAGAGAGAGAGAGAGAGACATACACACACACACACTTACGGATCACCTTCAGAGGGAACATCAATACTTATTCGGAAACCACCATCACAATATGTGTTCTGATTGTTAATTTACATACACACATAATGCCTGGAATACACAATGTACACAATATTCAACTTTTCACAATCACAGCAGCCTTCCTGGTATTAAAACTTTTAAAGTGTTCAAAAAATTTAGCTTACCTGGACTTAAATATATTTAATAGACACAGACAAATAGAACTGGAAATATACAGAAAACCCACGACGTGCCACCCTAAAGAACAAAAATTGCCAGCATATAAAAATTGGATACACAGACTTCTTACACTACCCCTTGAGGAAAATGCTAAAAACAAGAATCAAATACTATTATTAATATAACACTAAATAATGGCTATAGAAAGGAAGACATCACACATCTGTATAACAAACTTAAGCAGAAGATGGGTAACCCAGATAATAAATACGAGAAGGAACAAAATGGGTCACTTCTACTTATACAGGAAAAACATACGAAAACTCACAAAACTATTCAAAAACACTAACATAAGGGCAGTCTTCAAAACAGCCAACACAATAGATAAACTAATAAATGAAAAACGAGAAATAAACCCCTGCGAACAAAGTGGGATATAGGAGATAACATGCCAAAGTTGCCAAAAACACTGAAATTTGATACAGAAGTACGCCTTATATACAGATACAGGCTTATAACCATAGTAACACATAACAATATAAAGGTACTGTTGTTTCACACGAAACTGTAGTTACACGTAACAGTAAACAAGACATAACCTAGTTCTTAAATTGTTTACTATGATGTTGCCAACTCTAACATTATATTTCAGTATTTGAGAGTAGCCAACATAACACCAAACATGAGTAGGGCACCATCGTTTATGGTTATGAAACAAATGCTTTAGCGTAGCCCCAGATTACAGGCGAAATGAAAATATAACACGCAAATTCTTAAAACATTATGTGTATAGGCTCATAGCCTACACTCTCCTGAGGTAAGAGGAAAACCCATTCTAAATACAAATACGTCTGGTGCTTAAGTGGCTCAATAATGGCTGCATTTCGTATATACAGCTTAACTTACCACTGTACTTTTTTCCCATCCTTCCGAATTCCATATCCTGTTCACTTTACCACGCTTTGGCATTATTGTAATTTCAAATGAAAATGTCTACACTTTATTCACCACACTTCTTCGTTGTAACACACGCTGACTCACACACAGCTCAACCGGCCTTTTATACATTTCCCTGTTTTGCCTGTTTTGTCACAGTGGCAAGCATCGAGAGATCAGGAGGATCGGGACTGAGCACGAGTGGGCACCTGACCACATACCGATCACAGACCATCAAAGACTGCCCAGCTGGCTGCAGGTGGTTGTGCTGTTAAGTCACCGGTTTGAGGGGGTGGGGGCGAAGTTGAGCGCCTCCTATGCTCTTATAAAAATATCGCGCTGTTGCCACTTCGCGGGAAACACGTAATTGTTTCGCTTATCTGATTCCAAGGTCAGCCCTACGCGCCGGTCGCGCTTTACTCCCCAGGAAAATTATTTAATTAATTCCTTGTACTCATTTCTGTTAGAGGCTGAGCCAGCCTCCTACCGATAGCTGCCGGGGGATATTTCTTCCGGGGTAAAGCGGCCGGCGTGTGAAACTGATCACGCACCTCTGTCTAGTGTCCAGTTAAAAATATTGAAGACATCTCCACTCCCACATACTTGTTAATGGCGTTGTGCTTAATTAACTAAATAACAAAAGTGACAACTTGCCTCTATTATTTGCTTTCCAACACTTTCCATTATGCTGTGCGTGGATTTGCTACTTGCCACGGCTCAACTTTGCTCCTTGCCCTCGCTGCTGTCGTATAACTACTAATGACACAACCACCAAACACCTCCACAGGCTCCACATCACTGTCACAGATGACTGGCTGGCGCGCTCTATTTTACGGATATTCAAAACATGAAATATTTCAGTGCGGCTTTTTGATATATATATATATATATTGTAACGTGTTGCGTTACTGAATACGCCGTAGAGATCGTTAATTGGTTATTTAACAACCTACAAATCACGGCTATAATTAATTATAACACAGTTGCGGGTTTCCACACTTTACAAACCCTACAACCAAAGTCTTCACGTACTAATAACGCGGGAGCTATACAAATCTCCCTGAATTACACACTCCAAATATAACTGTACTACAGCACTCACTAAGTCTCGAAAGCACACAATAAGTCTTCCGCTCGCTGGCTTCTTAGTTATCGCACACTCGCAGGCTGCTACCTTGAGGACTGTTGATAACACACTGACTCTCGCTTGCTGCTCAGCCGGCTTTTATTCCGTTCGCTGTTGCTAGGGTCGCCCGCCACGTCACAGTAGGAAGCGGTGCCGCGTCAGCGTGTTTTCGTATAGCCTAGCAACGCTGTTACATCGCGCCGTCTTACGTCACGGCGCGTTGCGCGTTACGTCACCGCGGAGGGGGGGGAGGGAGCGCTACGTAACCGAGACGTACCGCTGGGGAGGTATGGGTCCTCCGTTGCGCAATATGACACAATATATATATATATATACACATAACGTGTAACAGTGTAAATATGTTTAACAGTTGAAAAATGCCGTCTTCTGGGAGGTGGGGCCGTGTAGATCTTGGGTGAATCGACATTTCAGAGGAACGTATCGCCTCCATCTTCAGGGTACAGACATATGAGCGAAGGGGAACCAGCGTGAGCGGCTGCAACAGTCATTTCTTCAACCGTGATCTTCTGGTAACATAGTTTGCTACTGTCAGTATTATTACAACCCTAGACTTACAACTCTTTAATGAACCGTCACAACACAGCAAATAGTAAAACATCAAAGTCAGCCTACAGCTGTGGCTTTGCTACATCTTTCGGCCACTATCGGCCATCATCAGGCAAATATATATCAACAAAAATCTACCATTTAACTGCAATCATAAAATGGATATAACACTGTTAATCGTACAATTTTAAAATTTCTTATGTAAAAATACAAAAGTTCAGATTATATAACAATTACAAATTGGAAGTATTATAACAAAATAAAATATTAACGATGTTTTCAAAAACATTGAATCAGTCGTTAGATATACTTTGTGTGCATTTCCATAGACAGTAGGGAAATTCGATATTACTTTATATAGAAGATTTTAAGAAAGGCCCATGGTGTAGCAATTAATGAATTGTGTAATGCTGCCTCATCATTAAGAAGAATTGTCCGTATAGCATGGAAAGCAAACAACGACAACAAAGAGTCGTTCTTTGCTTTACATGCAATACAGACAATTCTTCTTAATTGTACGATTAATAGTGTTATATCCATTTTATAATTGCAGTTAAATGGTAGATTTTTGTTGATATGTATTTGCCTGATGATGGCCAATAGTGGCCGAAACATGTAGCAAAGCCACAGCTGTACGCTGACTTCGATGTTTTACTATTTGCTGTGTTGTGACGGTTCATTAAAGAGATGTATATTGTAGCACAGCAGGATGCATGAAATTAAAACCTTAGACATGTTATGCATTGGTCCCCTCGGTCTTCCTACCCGTACCAAGTCGCTATCCCTCCTGCCACCCCCAAAAGTCTGCGAGAGATGGAATGATCCGTCTGCAGTCTTGCCTGTTACGTCACGGCGGGTGGGGGCTGAGTTGCCACTTCGCGCAAGCCACCTGCGACTCTAATTCCAAGGTCATCGCAATGTCACGTCACAATATCAGTTTGAACTAATGAGAGTAAGACACAATTCCATGCCATGCATGCCAATATTTTTCCTTGTACTCGAAAAACTATTCAGGCAATTTTTCTTTTACCGAAGTTGAAACAGGTGTGGGCGGAACACAATCGAGTACACTTTATTTATTTGAGCCTTCCATAAAGCCTGTTTAACAGAAGGCGGTTACCGTTTATATTCGAAGACCAGTTGTAACGGTCATGTTAATTTTACTGTAGGGCAGAAATAGAAACTTTATATTACAGGTATTCAAAACTCTTCCATAATAGTATACAGCATATATAAAAAGTGTTTCTGTGAATGTATGAGATATATATAATGATTAATGACATTAAAATAGCAGTAGAGGCGTGATGTAATGGTTAGCATGCTTGCCTTGGGAACTGAGGGTTCAGGTTCAAATACTGATTATAATTTTTTTTTTTTTAATTTTATGAGTATGATTCCATTCCTACATTTTGTGTTCACTTTTATTCATTATACCTTCACATCAAATGGGTTGGCAGGGCACCAACACTGTAGACTCATATTCTACAGGTTCTCATTTCAGATAAGTCCATTTGCTCCTCAGAAGATTGATACATAGATCACTACCTAGGGATCCACATACTGACAAATACTTGCTGCTTCTCAGAATTGTAATCCTCATGTTTAAAAGTAAACACAAAATTGTATCAGTATCATAACAAAATGAACATATCATAAGCAGCTAAAATTCTGTAAAATTGTGGGAATATTAGTAAATTAAAAATCATGCAGTATAACTTGGCAATTGTGTCATATTTATAGCAATTTACCTTTGAAATTTCAATGTGATGGGACAAGTAATATAACACTGAAACTAATTCAAGAACGTTTTGTAATAGGTTGAGAACATTTTTAATATAGTTTGGAAGTTTGTTCATTCCTTATGAAACACATTTTGTGTCTGATATTTAGAACATTTCACAAAAGAGGAATGAATCGGTGAAAGTATTTAGAATATGTAAGGAAGTAGGAATTCTTGGAAGAAGAAAGCATTGCAGTGCTACTGGTATATGATGTTTTATCTGCACTGAATTTTTCAGCAAGAAGTATATTTAATCACGCTATCAGTGGCACTGTATATGTAACCAGGAGCTGAATTTCTGTATAACCCTGACTCTCTGATAATTTGAGAAGAGCTCAAATGAGCATCTTTACATGATAACCTGATATAAAACTAACAAAAGATGAATATACAGATATTTGAACTTACGCTGTGCCTGGAGTTAGTTATTTCTACTGAATTTCTTATTTTTTTAACTATTGTCAGTGGATCATACAAGTCAGTATATGAGATATTTTTAGTTCAGTGTTAAATTGAAAATCGTACTTCACCGCTACTTCAGCAGGTGCTGGAGACGCGGAAACTTACCGGGAACAGCAAAGTGAATTTCAAGGGGGTTACACAGAAGCCTTATTTCTGTGGAAGAGTATTGAACCTTTGTACCAGAAGCTGCACGCCTTTGTGTCCAAACAACTCTCCAGGCACTATGCTTTTCTCAGGTCTACAAACAGCACTCATTCCTGTTCATCTTCTAGGTAGGACAGAACCTTAGGGTAAACATATCTTTCCATAGTAATCTAAGATGTCCCAGCTTGCAAACATATGCACTAGTAGTTAATGAAATTGTACTAAACAAATTGCTTATCTCAGCTACGGACATAGCTCTTTCAATGCATGACTAATATACCTAACCGAAAAAAAACTAATTTGCTGTCATATTCACCCACCCATACAACTTCCTGACTGATAATGAAATAGCAGACCCAAGAATTAACGAACCAGCAGGCTGGTAGTTTTCATCATAGTTTCAATGTTGACGTTTATAAGCTGATTGTCTTTATTAATTTTCATAACTACATCCTTCCTTGTGCTAATTTTCATATCAAAGTTTCATAATGTTTATATCCTTGAAACAGTGTCATGCACATAAACCATCACCTTATAACATAAAAGTGCTTTCTGAATGTTCACATTTATAAGTGTCACATTTCAACCAGTGTTAAGTGTACCAGGGAATAACTGCTTTATGCCGTTATTTTCATTGTTGTTTTTTGAAAATATGCTGTGTTCTTAACACTTTGTGGACTGGCAATTTAAATATTTAAATCACCCTGCGGACCGGCATTTTTATACCTACTACCTTAACTCGTGCACTGTTCACTTTAAAAATTAATATAAAATCTCCTAATTAATTTTATGAACTAAAATTTTTTGAGAACACTTACCAATGCTTCTAGAAGTGCTTGAGGCTGTGATATTTCTCAAAACATTACACAAAACTTGCAAATGTAGGCAGTCCTACTCCTTTTCTTGTGAATTGCGCAAACACGGCATTGTCTAGAAGGCAACATTTCTGCATATCACCCGAGAGTCGCCCAGGGGGGTCAAAATGAGGCCTGCGTGGGGTGGGAGTAGATGGCCTCGGTTGTACTAAGACTGTGTCTGCCGCCGTGTGGTCTGTAGCCCAGGCTTTTGCCACATTCAGCAGAAATGCCTTGTATTTCAATTTTGAATGAGGGTTTAGATTTTTGAAAACCAAAAATGAATTGAAAATGGCACAATTTATAAGCCACAAGGCAACTTTCTTTGTCCACTTTACTGTTTTCCGAGGAAGAGAATAATAGGCCAAGTACTGATCGGCTCTATCAACTCCCTTCATGAACATATTATACTCGGAAATACGAACAGGCTTCTTTACCTGTCCATGTCTCCTTTGAACATCAACCATGCTCGAATTGTGAATTGTGGAAATCATATTCACAACAAGAGTATCCCTCCAGGACTGAAGAAGAATATCCCCCTTCCTCCTGAATGTGGTTTCACCACGTTTCAGGGATTTACATTCCTCTTTCAGATCTGGAGGAAGGCCTCTGTTCACCCTAATTGTTCCACAAACAAGTACTTTTCTCAAAAATAGGTGTTCTGCAGTTGCCACACTGTTATAATAATTGTCTTGATAGACATGGTAATTTTGATCAAGCTAGGGTTCAAAAACCGAAAGAATAGTTTCTTTCCTTCACCAGAATAAATTTCTAAACTTCCAATATAGCCTGAAGTGCTTTCAGTAACTACATGAACAAGTAAGCCATACTTTGTAAGTTTCCCAGGATTATATGTTCGCATATGAAGCCTTCCCCTCCAAAGAATCACAGATTTGTCCAAAGACAGTTGTTGGTTTGGCTTATAAACTGTCTGAAATTTCTGAATGAAAAAGTTCAAAATAAGGGCTGAATTTTGAAAAGCCTGCTTGTTGACTGTGATTGCAGTTCATTATCATTGAAATGCAAACACCACCAAATTTGCTCAAATCTCTTATGGCTCATTAGTTTGCTGAAAATTTGAATTTCTAAAAATGGATCTGTTGACCAATACTCTTTCAGATTATCTCTCCTTGTATGGCCCATTAGAAAGATAATTGCAAAAAATTTTCTCATTTCTGCTGAAGTGACATCCACCCACTTCATTGCCTTATAACTTCTGTCATAATGTTCACGGTGTTGGAGATAGTATCTGTTAGTTTCCTGACATAGCATGTCAAAGAAACTATCTCCAAAAAACAGTTCCACTACTTCAGACACTTGCGTTGGGTCTGATGGAATTTGCTTCACCACTGGATTTCCAGTAAACTGTCCCAAAGCAGGCGTTTTGTCTACTTTTCCCCATGTGATTGTCACCACAGTGTTGCTACCCGCACATTCGTCAGAGCTACGGTCATTTTCACTTTCACCGTCTGTGGTCACAATTTTTTGTTTGCCCCTGCCACACTCACTATCAGATTGTGAGTCACTATCACTAGCAGACGCACAAGGGAAGTCAGAAGCCCTTTTTTGCCTCGGATAAATTCTGTTTTTGGTTTGAAACCTTCTTTCATATATTTGATTCGACCAAAGGCATTTTTTGTTTTGTTATTTTTGAAGTCTTCTTCCATTTGCGGTAATTGCTCATTTAGAAAGGCCCATTTCTTTTTCCTGCAAATCTTGTCTACTTTCCTTCTTCCTTCATTATACGCCTCATTTCTTCCTCTTGTTGGTCTTTCCATATATTTCTTATTCTTGAGGTTTATACTCTCCCTACATTCCTCGTCGAACCATTCTCTATTATCCTGTTTCTCTTGATATCCCATAGTCCTCTCGGCTTCTGTAATTATTGCAGTTTTAAAATCTACCCATATCCCTTCTACCATTACTTCTTTATTTGCTCTATTGTCATTAATTTCTTTAATTTTATTTTGAAATGCTTCTCTCTTATCACTATCTGTAATCTTGTCAATACTAAATTTCTTACATTTCTCATACTGCATAGATCTTTGACAACTTATTTTACATCTATATTTAACCTGTACTAAGTAATGATCACTATCACAGTTGGCCCCTCTTAATGTTCTTACATCCGGGATATTCATCGCAAATCACTTCTCTATGAGGACATGATCTATTTGATTGAAGGTTACCCAATCCAGTGCTGCCCATGTTCTTTAATGTATATTTTTCTGCGGGAAGTATGTAGACCTGATGATCAAGTTCTTACTTTCTGCAAAATCTATTAAATTTATTCCATTGTGGTTGGTTGTGTCATGTAAACTTTCTGTCCCAATTACTCCTCTGTGTTCCTTCTCTTTACCTATTTTGGCATTAAGATCCCCTGAAATAACCTTTATGTCATTACTTGGTACTGAATCATATGTCTCTTCCATTTGTTGATAGAAATAGTCTTTGACCTCCCATCATTCTATCTGACTTTGAGTTATTTCAGTCCAGTTCACAACCTCAAAATGTAGTTCTCTAGTATCCATAACAATATTATCTTATCTCCTTGTTGAAATACTTCTTAACTTAATTACCCTGCTATTAATAATGGGGGCATGCGGTAGCATAGTTGGTTGAGGCACTATGCTCTAAGCCAGAATGTCACAGGTTCAAGTCCCAATGATGTGAATTTTTTCAGTTCACCTGATTCTTCCGCACTACAGATCTGGGGTAAACTCAGCCTCTAACAGAAAGGANAAGGGAATTTTGGGGGGGGGGGGGCACATATGCCTGACAACCTTGCTGCCATCTGTGAGCCAATTGTCTAGAGAAAACGTGGGAGCCTTGACATCCCACAACTCTATGGCCCTTCATGACCTGTTACAGCGATAGCTATACCTTCTTTTTTATTTATAATATCTCCAGCAAAGGGATTGGGTGTAGGGCTAAGAGCCCTTCACTACAAAAGTTCTGTTAAGAAACTTCCATCAAGGTCTTGAAACTGAGAAAATTCATTGGATGAGTTTTCAATGTTTTTCACATAACCCCACATGAAAAAGTCAGGTGTGTTAGACTGGAACTTCTTGGAGGTCAGGCTATTGGTCCAGCCATTCCAATCTACTGATCTGTAAACACAGCATTCAGAACATGGCCAGCTTGTACACTGAAATGAGGTGTAGATCCATCTGTTGGGAAACAACACCAGTTGCATTTTCTTTTTCAGTCTCAGGCTTGGGGGAAATTCGAAATATTCCAACAGACCTACATAAATGTCCCCAGTAATGGTTCTCTCCTCAAAAGAAAAAAGAAAAGCGAGGAACAGTCCTACCACATGGTCATTCTGTTGTCCGCATCACACTTCACATTTGGGGGCTCATGTATGTACGCGATGGTTGTAATCCCCAAATTCTGCAGTTATCATGAATGTGGAAAGCACCTTCGGCCATAAATATTACCTGTGGTAAGTAGTCTTCATTGCCTTTAGTTTCACATAACATGATCATCAGCAAATGCAACAAATTTTGGACTATCACTGACATCAATTTTACGTCTTAGTTGAATTGTATACTCATGTATTCATGTCATGAAGACGTATGGCGGAGTGGAGGCAAAGCTCCACCACTCGACCTCGGCACTATAAGGAGGTGAGTGGTCAGCTTCATTTTCCAGCCGCTTTATGCCCCGGGAAAGAGCGCCGAGTAACCACTAGACAGGAACCTGGATGGGCATCTGAGTCAGTCTGTATGCTATGGAGTAGACAAAAATATCTTTCCTCTGCCCGAAATCGAATCCCACCCCTCCAACCCCCTAAACCGTCGCTGTACTGACAGATCTGTCCCAGTCAGGTTGGTGAATGAAGAAAAAATTGTGATTATTAATGCTTTTGTAATGAAATTTTCTGCTCTATAAATATATCTGGCCGATCACAGTGGCCAAACCGTCTCAGGCATAAACTGTCATCGCTCGCTCGAACGCTGGGATCGTGGGTTCGAATCCCACTGAAGGCATGGATGTTTGTCTGCGTTTATTCTGTCTTCGTGTTCTCCTTTTGGTAGGCAGCGACCTTGCGACGGGCTGATCACCCGTCTAAGGAGTCCTACCGTCTGTGTAAACAGATTACGAAACTGAAGAAAATGCCAGGGCCCAACAAAGGGGTCTGGGTCCATTGAATGAATGAATGAATGAATGAATGAATGAAATATGTCTGTGCCTCCATGACGTGGTTTCAAAATATACATTTTTTTAAAAGCGAGGCAGAACCACGAGAAAATGAGCTTTAGGCGCAATGTGAGTTGTATGGGTAATTTTCTTACTCTCGCAGCATCTAACGTCCAGTTTAAAACACTTTCAATTATGAAAAGTGGTACATCTGCTGTACAGTATGTCACACCACCTGGGGTGACTAAGCGCTCGAAGTCGCTTCCCAGGACTGGTCAGCCATGTTTTCCGTACATGAGGTTGGTCTAGTTGGCAGGAAAGTGGGGAAATTCTGGCGATGATTAGGACATGTCCGGAGCGAGATGCTTGTGAGATGTGATGTAGCGCCATCCCGATATAACGGCCGCGCATATCACAACCACATTATGCGGTTTAATATTTCAACGTTTGATATTCGATGTTGGGTGTAAAGTGGCACGTGAAAACCAGCTGACTTCTCCTGCTTACCTTGAAGTCGCAGGGCGTATAGGACTATAGGTGACACTTCAGCTGGTTTCTGTTGTGTCAAGATGAGGCTACTCGTACATTCAGCGAGGCAGGTTGTTACCATAACGAATGAAGATGTGTTCTACCTGTCTGGGAGAGCCATGAAAAGTGTCGAAGTTTTGCAGAACAATGATGACGGTGTGGCTGTTGCGATAGACGAGTGAGTATCTTTTATAATCCTGATGACAGTTTCGATTAAATATTTGGCAGTTCTAGTATCAGATGTATTTTTTACAGTGCCTTCAGTAATCTAGCATAAGTTTAAACTTCGGAGTACGTGCCAGAGCCGATACGGGTTTACTTCATGTTCAATCCTACGACAGTGAGACTTGTGGCGGAAAATGGTACTCAAAAAGGGGTTTCGATTCCCCCCCCCCCTTTTCTCCAGTGAAAAGTTAATTTCATGTAAAATCAACACATCCTAATCTAACCTTATCCAGTTTTAATGAAATTTGGGTTACGTACTGTAGCCCATTGCAAATGAATGTGTATAAATTTTCATGGCTAAATTATTTCGCGAGATATTGTTAAACATTGTGAAATTATGGATAATCCTCCTCACAGATTATAACAAATTGTATTCTAACTCTAGTTTTATTGCGCATGCAGAGCTAAAATTGGACATGCTCTAAAGCATTAACAATGAACTTTGAACTTTAAAGTGATGTTTGTTAGAACTCAGGGGAGGTACGTCCTTAGCGGTCCTTAGGGACTACCGGTGCTAAGCGCGACTTAATTTTCGGAGAAAAACAGTTTAATGGCGAAAACCAATTAGTGTATTGCATTTATAATTTACAGATAGGAAAGAAGGTAGTTCAGTGAACTGATTAGTGTTTGAAATTCACTACTCAAATACATAGCCTGCTTTAATGTACGTAGTGATAATGGAAAACAAGAAAATACTGGAACTGCGTTTTCAGCTTGGTTGATAGAGCTAAGTGAAATGAGCCCCTAATAGTATTATATGGTGGTTGCACAACAATGTTTCACCACAGCCAACTAGTCGAGATAGAGAAATGAATTTGTTCAGAGAGAGAAATTTTCCAGTATCACGTAAAAGACCTTACTGAGGGCTACCAAACACTAGCCCCAGGCAACGTATTAAAACGAAGGTCACTTTACCGAAGGCTGCCAGCAGCAGATTTGCGTTACTATTAGGCAAAAATCTACATGTTCCTCCAGCCTCGTATAACATGTTCTTTCGTCAAGTTTATGCTGTACAGCTCAGGCGTGGGTGAGAACTTAGGATAACAAGTTCCAGTTTTCACAAGGATGTCCTCTGTAGCTATGTATGCTGTTAATCTAGTTTCACCAAAATCTTCAGCAGTGGGAGTGGTACGGTATATTCTACTGCGTTCTCATATTTAAAAAAGGGAGCAAGTTTTCGTAGCGAACCCGTGAGTAGTGCGCGGTGTTGTGAAATCACACCCTGTGCTCTCAAAGGATAAATCAGATTGAATTGTGTGGAGTTTATAGAAATGACATATTTGCAAACGTAAAATTTGTGTCCTTTGGAATTTAGTGAAAGAAAAGAATCTCGAAAACGCCCTCTCAGAAGTGCCCAATTTTGAGAAAATAATACTAACAACACCATTCTGACAGGGTCAGAACGTTATTTTAGTACAGTGGTTCTCAACTTTTGTGAGACCGCGGCCGGTGAATCCTTTTTTATATAAGACGAGGGCCCTGTCCCAACAAATTTAGTCGTAATCACCTTTCCATTGTTTTTAATGTTCATGCATTAAACTAACATAAGTATTAATAATGAATTATGGCATAATCATAAAGAGTATAAGTACACATGTGTACGATGGGGCATGTTGACAAATATAAAATTACATTTACATTATTTATCAGTCACTGGACTAATGAAGCATGTTGTAGTTTCCCCAGGTCAACATCATTAAATTAATATTAACTTTTCATTGACATATCCCATTCTGATCACCAAAAATTTATAATATTATTCAATGTGTAAAATTTATTATTGTGTTATTAAATTGATTTTAATGATGTCAATTTGAAAAAGCAAAGGGTAGTGAGAAAACTATCTATGCATTGTAACTCACCGTAGAAGTCAGCTGGGTATGGGAAGCAGCAGAACAATGTCAACTTGTCGGCAAAATACTTATTATTGCATACATGCACCACATATTTGTATATGCTAAGTATGTAATTTAATAAATAAAAGTGTACAGATCTCTCAAGTCTGAACACTAGTTCCAACACTAATTAATATTTTGAATTTAAAAATGCAGCACTTTAACACAGCAATTATGTTATTGGAAACGTTAAAATTAGTTTCTTTGAAGGTTAGGCTAGTGAGAATTTTGTGTCAATCTTCTGTCCGTTAACTGATTACTTCTGGGATGAACTGAAGGGATAAGCAAAGAGAGACAGAAAGTTGCAGGCAGTTCCTTTGTTTCTTTTTAAGCACAGTCATGGCAGAAAATGCAGTTTCACAAATATATGTGGTGGGAAAACCAGAGAAGAAATCTCATATCTATTTCATGTGAATTTGGATATTCATTTTTCACTCTTATCCAGAATTATCTGAAACTGAATTCTATCAATAAAAGTCATCTCTGCTTCCAAAATACAATCTGAGTATTACTGAAGCATTTCATTGTTTCCTACTACAATTATATTAAGCCGGAGTTTGGGTTTCATTTGAACAATTCGATCTTGTTCCAAGCACTAAATATTGTTGTATCTGGACCTTGAAGTTCAATTTCAACTCGTTTATGTAAGAAAATATGTCGCTGAGATATGCCAGCCTGGCTATGTGTTTCTTCTACTGGAAATAATAGGGCGAGTTACTTTTCTTATCAATTAGAAAAAGAGCTCAACTTTTTTTTTTTTTTTTTTTTTTTTTTTTTTTTTTTTCATTTTCATTCCCCTTTCCATAGAAAAATGTATATTTGCCTGCTGGTTCACCGACACCTCCGTCCCATCTGACCTCCTTTTATACCTAACTTATTTTTCTCAGTATATCTTGCATATATGTTACTTAGTATACTCGTATGGTACGATAGGCCAGAAGTGGCCGCAAGGGACTTAGTCCCACCCCACTAGCAGTATGAAAAAATAGTATACTCATAGTGCAGTGACAAAGGGTGCACAGTGCCCATGGCAACTTGGACGCTATGGCAGCACGGATATACTCATGCTGAAACTACAGTGCACAAAATTAGCGCCTACACAGGAAGTCCGTCCTCTCCCCTCCTGAAAGAGGAGGCCCCACTTCTAAACATATACAGTCTGGGAAAGAACAAAAACCTTGTTCACAGACCATGATGAGGCCTGAAGCCAAGAATGCCTGTGCTGGCAAGAGCCAGCAGAGATTTAACTGACCAGTAGGTTACAGTGATTGAATTTAGATCTTTCTAAGGTACCTACCATTGTAGGTATCTCCTATCCCCTCACCTAAGGATGGAATGTGATCCAGTTTTCAAAACATTGTATTCTTTAGAATACTGGATGAAGGACAAAGTCCAAAAACCCATTCATCGTATTCATCATAATATAGCCTTTATTAAGTCAAATCAGTATAGTTCATTGTATTAAGAAATCTTTAGCTTCATTGCACAGTAACAGAAGCCCACTCTGTAACACCCCACTCCCAAACTAGAGCTTTTCTAATCCAAACCATAATTTGTTTTCTTCTAAATAGTTTCCATATTAGTCTTCTATATCACAGAGAAGTTTTATATTAATACAGAACATTAACATATGTTTTGCTAGTCAACTTTATACTAGTTTTATTCACCACTTCAGCAACCCACATTAAAGAAACCAACATTATCTTTGAAAGAAAAAACAGAGTTCTGGGTTTGATGGGAAGTAATGTTTTCAGTGATGGTTACATTGCAGCTGTTGGAAGTACACAGTATGTCAGAAGGTTGTGGAAGGATGATGACTTCGAGAAAATTATTGATGCCACAGGGAAATGTGTGCTTCCAGGCTTTGTGGATGCCCACACACATCCTGTGTGGGCTGGTGATCGTGTGCATGAATTTGCAATGAAGGTAGAGTTTTTGTGCTATTCCCGATATTAATTCTTCTCTGAAAAGGAAAGCATCCCTTCTTTCACTGAAACTGTTACTCTAGATCTACTAAGCCAAGCATACACAGTCACTGAATATCATTTTTATGTTTTGTCAAATATTTGACTGTATGCATGCTGAAGTCTGACGAGAATTATAGTAATAAATTTTTTGAGTTCTGTAAATTTAAAAATTAATACAAATTTGTAGTAAATTATTTCATTAAAAAATCCATCCAATATGGTGATTAATTTGTAATCATCCTGTATGTGATATAAAAATAGTATAATGATAGAGAGACATATGTAGCTAAGCACCATGCCATGAAGGTATACAGAGAATGTGGAAGAAAATTCTAACCCTACCCTATTCAGCAAGTACTGAAATGAGTTGTTGGGTACATATACAGACAGCTTTCACATGAAAGGAGTGTTTGTCCTGAATAGCTATGGAGAATAAATCCTGTTGCCCCTGTTAGGAGTTGAATTTTAGTCTTATCCATTCCATAGTTGCTATATACAGGGAACATATTCTCCGTGTTCAGTGTGTTATTAAGTAATCATAAAGTCAAATGACTACAAATCGTAGTGAAATATGTAAGATTTCAGGATTTCGCAGCGGTGACTATGAAGAAAGCAGTGTTCTGGGATGTGGTGCCATGTAGATATTGTGTTAACCGAAGTTTCGGAGGAACGTATCGCCTCCATCTTCAGGGTAGAAGAAAAAAGAAGAAAATCCACAAGCGAATAACCAACGTGAGCAGGTGCAAATAGACTAATATCAAGAATTGCACCTGCATACACTGGTTCTTCACTTGCGGATTTTCTTCTTTTTTCTTCTACCCTGAAGATGGTGGCAATACATTCCTCCGAGATGTCAGTTAACACAATATCTACATGGCACCACATCCCAGAAGACTGCTTTCTTCATAGTGAAATAGTTTGCAAGGTTGTGAACTAGGTTCAACTGGCTAGAAGTTTGTGTAGTAATGTACAGAAATGCAGTTACTGTCTTGCACGGATATGTTTAGTCTGCCTTCTTTCACCTACTACAAATAAATTGTTCACCATATTTGCAGCAGGGGTTTATCTCCAGAGAGTGGAGTTCTGACCACTGAAGTAAGGAAAACTATACATTTGGCATGTTTTTTAATTAATAAATTTCTTGTAAAAATGGAGTAATGTGTTACTTCTGAGCATAGGCATTTAATTTAATAATAATATGATCTTGAATAAAATTAATTCTAGTTAGCTGGTGCTTCATACTTAGAAATTCACAGTGCTGGAGGTGGTATATTCTTCACTGTTGACAGCACAGTGAAATGCAGTTCAGAAGAATTATACCAGAGTCTGAAGGATCGTTTAATAAAAATGCTGAAAGCTGGTTAGTATTATTGATGACTGCTATGTTTTAAATTTAAGCTTATGTCATATAAAATACTGCAAAGGTTAGCTCAGCAGTACTCTCTTACCTTGTATTCAGTAGGAATCCAGTTTGTATGTTGGTGAGGGAAATGGCTGTCCCAATAGATTCACTCAGCCTTTACAGATGAATACCAGGCTAATTACCATAAAATCTCGTAATGATTACTTCCTTAATCCCTTTTCATTTTACTCTGAGTCATCCTCGTGTTCTGTTCAGCATTATGTAACATATGCAGTTTATGCCATATCATTAACATATGCGCATTTGGGCAAATCACAAGTGGACCATTCTGTAACCATGCACAAACCTGCCTGAAGTCCCAAAGACTGCATTTTATTCAGCTCATAGCTGTTAGCAGTACTCAGATAAAGCCTAGTAGTAATTTGGAGAAGTTTCTTCAGGTTCTTATTTTTCCATTACACTGTACAAGTAAGTGATCAGACATTGTGCTTAAATCAAATCATAATTGACACTTTTCCTATTGCAACGTAACAATTTTATACTATTTACAAACTAGATACACAGGCAACTATATGCCCAATTTAACAGGTACCACCACAGTGGAATGTAAGACTGGCTATGGTTTAGAAACAAAAGCCGAAATGAAGCTATTGCAAGTTCTTCAGCGGGCCAAAGAAGAGTTACCAATTGAGATCTCCCTTACATACTGTGGAGCACATGCTGTCCCAAAGTAAGTTCTGGCATATAAGTGAAAATGCGCATTCATTGCTCATCCCCACACAACTGCAGGGTCATTGTTACTTATGGTGTACTTCCCACGAGTGTTTCTGATGTGCCACTTTCTTGGTCAGTGAGCATCAAATGGTCTTGCTCATTTTTAAAATGTTTCTGTCTATATATTGCATATTCTTTGGGGGTATTATGGCCAGTACATTTCAAGAGTGCTTTCTGCGATGAAAGTCATATCATAATAAGTCTTACCATTTTACAAAGCCACTGCTTATGGTTCCATGTTAAGTGGGTCCCTTGTCACCACAGCATGGCGCGTCCTCAGGTTGTGGATGGAGGAGATGCCCTCCAGTTTTGGAAAGAAGCTGCAAATATATTGAATAAGCAGATGCGGACAGCCGACAAGGGGTGGTCCTCCAGCTTGGGGCTAACAACTCCTCACCAAAAAAATAATCATGTTACAAAAATGAACATACAGCCTCAGACCTGGATGGATTCCTTTGATAAACGACCTTGGCTAAAGAAAACGGATATGAGATTCGGTACTTGGAATGTCAGAAGTATGTATAGGGCAGGTTCGCTCAGGGCAGTGGCAGAAGAAATCTTAAAATATAACTTAGATTTAATGGGAGTACAAGAGGTCAGATGGGATGGAGGTGGCATCACACCAGCAGGAGAATATACATTCTTCTATGGAAAGGGGAATGAAAATCATGAATTAGGTACAGGTTTTTTCATACAAAGAGAACTGTATCAGCAGTTAAGAGGGTAGAGTTCGTTAGTGATAGGATATCATATATAATACTAAAGGGTCACTGGCGTGATATCATTGTAATGAATGTTTATGCCCCAACACAAGATAAAATGGATGACATAAGGGACAAGTTCTGTGAAAAACTAGAACATGTTTTTGATAAATTCCCGAAGTACCCTATGAAAATTTTGTTAGGAGATTTCAATGCCAAAGTAGGGAGGGAAGACATTTTCAAACCAACAATTAGGAATGAGAGTTTGCATGAAATTAGTAATGATAATGGAGTTAGAGTAGTAAACTTTGCCACATCAAAAAATCTTACTGTCAAAAATACTCATACAATGTTCCCACATCGTAACATCCATAAATTTACTTGGACATTTCCTGATGGCAAGATACACAATCAAATAGTCCATATTTTGATAGATAGGAGATGGCACTCAAGTATACTTGATGTCTGATCATTCAGGGCAGCAGATTGTGATACTGACCACTACCTGGTGATGGCAAAGGTTGGAGAAAGACTGGCAGTGAGCAAACAAACAACGCACAGAGTTCATATGGAGAGGTTCAATCTAAAGAAATTAAATAAGGTAGAGGGTAAAGAGCAGTATTGTGTTGAAATCTCAAATAGGTTCATGGCTTTGGAAAACTTGGACACTGAGGTGGATGTTAATAAAGCTTGGGAAACTATTAGAGAGAATATAAAAATGTCTGCCAAAGAGAGTCTAGGTTATTATGAACCGAAGAAGCTTAAGTCGTAGTTCGATAAAGGATGCTCAAAATTATTAGATCAAAGAAAGCAGGCCAAATTGCAATGGTTACAGGATCCAAATGAGTTAAATGGGGATAATCTGAACAATATAAGACATGAACCCTGCAGGCATTTCAGGAATAAAAAGAGGGAATATCTGAAAGACAAAATTCATGAACTTGCAATGAATAGTAAAAAAAAGACAATCAGAGACCTGTACATAGCAATAAGTTACTTTAAGAGGGGTTACCAGCCTAGCAGTAACTTAGTGAAGGATGAGAATGGTGATCTGCTTGCAGATTCCCACAAAATTTTGAATAGATGGAAGAACTACTTCTGTCAGTTACTGAATGTGCATAGGGTCAGTGATGTTAGGCAGACAGAAATCCATATAGCTGAGCCATTAGTACCTGATCCTAGCCCTTTTGAGGTTGACAGTGCTATTACAAAATTGAAACAGTATAAATCACCAGGTAGCGAACAAATTCTGGCAGAACTTATTCAAGCAGGAGGCAAAATATTACGTTCTAAGATCCATAAGCTAATTACTTTTATGTGGAATAAGGAAAAATAGCCTGATCAGTGGAAAGAGTCTTATTACTGTACAAGGTCACAAGAAGAGTGATAAAACTTACTGTAGTAAATATCAGGAGATATCACTGCTATCAACTTCATATAAAATTTTATCCAATATTCTTCCCTCAAGTTTTAGTTCATATATAGATCAAATTATTGGGGATCATCAGTGCGGATTTTGACGTAACAGATCAACTACAGCTCAGATGTTTTGCATTCGTCAGATATTGAAGAAAAAATGGGAGTACAATGAGACAGTACATCAGCTATTCATAAACTTCAAGAAAGTCATTGATTCAGTTAGGGGGGAGTATTGTACAATATTCTGATAAGAGTTTTGGATACCCATGAAATCAGTTAAGCTGATTAAAATGTGTTTAAACGAAACTTATAATAAAGTCCGTATAGGTAAATATTTGTCTGATAATTTTCCTATCCAGAATGGTCTAAGACAAGGAGATACTTTTATCACCACTCCTCCTCAACTTTGCTTTAGACTATGACATTAGGAAGGTCGAGGAAAACCAGGTGGGACCAAAATTAAATGGGACACATCAGCTGTCGGTCTACACCCATGATTTGAATCTACTGGATGATAATACAGATACCATAAAGAAAAACACACAAACTTTAATTGACGCAAGTAAGGAGGTTGGTCTAGAAGTAAACAAAGAAAACTAAGTATGTGTTGCTGTCTCATGACCAAAATGCAGGGCAAAATCATGACATAACAATCGAAAACAGATGTTTTGAAAATGTGGCACAGTTCAGATATTTGGGAACGATGATAACAAATCAAATCCTGATTCAGGAGGAAATTAAGATCAGATTGAACTCGGGTAATGCTTGCTACTATTTAGTCCAAAGACCTTTCATCTTCTCATGTGCTGTTTAAAACATAAAAATTAGAATATACAAAACTATAATTTTGCTGGTGGGTTCTGTATGGACGTGAAGCTTGGTCTCTGACATTAAGGGAGGAGCACAGACTGAGGGTGTTGATGAGAATATTTGGATCGAAGACAGATGAAGTGACAGGAGGTTGGAGAAAACTGCACAGTGAGGAGCTTCATAAATTGTACTCTTCTCCAAGTATAATTAGAATGATCACATCAAGGAGGATAAGGTGGGCAGGGCATGTAGCAGGAATGGGGGAAACAAGGAATGCATATAGGATATTGGTGGGAAAGCCAGAAGGAAAGAGACCACTGGCAAGACCAAGGCGTACGTAGGTGGATAATATTAAAAGTGATATTAGAGAAATGGTATGGATTGGATTGAGCTGGCTCAGGATAGGGACCAGTGGAGGGCTCTTGTGAACACAGTAATGAACCTTTGGGTTCCATAAAATGCTGGAAAATTCTTGAGTAGCTGCAGAATTGGCAACTCCTCCAGAAGGCCTCAGCTCCATGAGTGAGTAAGTAAGTAAGTAAGTACTGCTTATGGTTTCTGCACAACACTTCAACATTTGAAGACAAATATCACTGACAAAATAAATATGTGTGAAAATTTCCATGTGGCCTATATTCATTCGTTTCAGATACATAAGAAATGGAGAATACAGTAGAGAGTTCCCAGCAGTGGGACGAAGAAGATATGTCACACCCAATTTTTTTTATTTGAAATTAGGTCTCTAGCTAGCCGCAGACCTCCAAAACAAATCATGTACCTTGTCAAACGTCGCAACTATGTTTGAAAAAAATTAAGAATTCAGTATATCAAAAGTTGGTCAAGACCAGGAATGGTGATAAAAGCAGAAGACAAATCAGATGAATAATTGATTCTATGCCAGGATGGTTGCTCTGGTCTCCTAGACATGAGCTGAGGACCTTGGATTTCATGGCAAAGTTTTGGAGTTACTTATTAAATTGCCAGTTGGAAAGAAGGAGAAAAAAGTTCTACTTGTATCAATGCCAGTGGAAATTACCATTTACATTTATGTATTTAATTTTTATTTCTTTCGTGAAAATGATTCATACTGTGTTTGATGGCTAGATGCATCCAATAATTTCATCTTCAGTGAGCTCTCTTTGAGATAGTGTAAAACAGTTTAAGCAGATACTTTTAAGTGATTTCTCATAACTACGCTATAAGTTACCTGTGGTAGATGGGCATTATAGTCACAGATATGGTAGCTAAATTTAATAACAATAAGCACAATATTAGTTCATAAGAATGGCATTTACCAGTACAATGTAATTTTTTAAATCTTGCTCAATATATCTAAAAAAGCTCCAACATGCATTGTCCATGTCAGTTCATCTAGATTTTAACATTGTGCCAGTGAACTTACCCTAATTTTATAGTAATTTACAAAGTGGCCTGAAACAGAATTGATACTTCAACCTGCTTGTGGAGGTGTGGACATATTGTATGTACTTTCTGTGTAAAAATATCTTAACGGATTTGATCAACATGTTGCCAGGCAACAGCTCTGTTAACACGGTCCAACATACAAGAACAGATGAGGCTGTGTTTTCTATGTAAATCTCGCCGAGCAGGGATGGAACAACGGGATTATGCAACCCGTTTATAAGCAACAGCTCAGTAAAAACACTTCCGCTTAAGCGGTGATGTCATCCACGACAGACACGGTGTTTCCCGTGGTGTCTGTGCAGAGAGCTTATATCAGAAGTTGATTCAGTGACAGAGTTAGTTCAGGGGCAGTTACGAGTCAGTCATAAGCTGGGGGGAGTGAGTCCAGAGTGACTGAAGATGCAATAACAAGAGATTTCATAGTGATTTGAAGTGCTAATTTCTGTGTTGGTATCCATTGCTAGGAGCTGACTGAGAGTCCTTGCGCATGTGCAATGGTGAACTGGAAAGTGAATAAATAGCAGCAGCACTCTATTCATTATAATTAAGATAACTTGTCAGCAAGGTCTTAATAAATCCAATAATCCGAAATAGAAACCGTTATTTTCATCACACCTACCACCCTACATTTGACAATATGGTCAGAATACAATAATAATTTATTTCATGCACTACATTATGAGGTACACTTTTTTATCTTTTTATTCAGTGAAATCAGTGTTCTATTTTAGAGGCCAACAGAAAATTCACTACTTATTGAACAATACGCCTAATTTGTAATTGATAAATTGGCTTGTCCAACACAGACAGCAGTTGAAATATAATTCTTCTAAGGCATGCTTTCTCTTCCATATTACTGCAATAGTTTTGTCAATGACAAAATGCTTCATCTCTAATGACTGTAATGCAGGGACAGAAGTATCCTCCAATGCCTTTCCTGAATTCCTTTTACTAATGCCAAGTCCTTCGACTTCTTTTAATCTAAAATCTCCTACATGATCCAACACTTAAACAAGTAAAGCAATAATATGAATCATAAAATTCCAAGAAAATTATTGCAGAGAATTAGTTATACCTGAGAAAAGAGAACTGGTGTTCAAGGGCCATACGAGTATTATATAGACGGTTTTGCTATCTGAGCCCCTGACCAGTTACAAAATTGTTTGAAAATGTTAGATACTCGTATTTTCCTCCACCACTTCATCAAGGTGCAACTGCAATCTCCCATACAAATGCTCTTGTATAAAGGTTTGCTGAACAAATGCTGATGGAAGGCAGCCCAAATTGAATGCTGCATCCAATTCACAGACTACTGCACAAGCTAATAAATGCACTTAAATGAAATTAACTAACTCCATGGATCAGTTGTTCTTGAAAAGCTAATAGCTGCTCATCTATTGAAGAAATTATCCACATTTTAAAGAACCCAAAGGTTCATTACCCTGTTGACATGAACCCACCACGTTTCTTGTTTTGAAACAAATCAGTTCAGCTCCTATCTGCCCATTCTATTTCATTAAGATACATGTCACATGATGCCTAAAATTCAGACATGTAGAATCAAAGGAATGTCACAATACTGCCCTCCCACCTATGCCTGGGCCACAAGTGCTGGAAAGAGAAAGGGAAATTTTATGCAAGGCAGATGGACCTGTAACTGAACAAGGGATCTGGAAATTCAGAACTAAACAGTAACTGAGAGTATTATATAAAATCCCTGATCCAGTAGCAGATATTGAAAGAAGGTTCAGGTGGTTGGGGTATGTGATCACTATGGATGAAACAAGGGTGGCTAAGAACATTTTTCTAAGACAGAATGCAGAAGCAAAGTGGGAATGTGTAGCTGAGATGGCTGGAACATGTAAGGAATAACTGAATGCAAAAATTATGTAACAGAAGAATGGGCAATGCTCTTGCAGGCCTGTAATACCAAGCAGTGAGGAACTGCTTCAGGGGTATTAGTCCCTTGTGTATTAATAATATGTCTACTTCATGGATTCATTGAAGGGTAGAAGACTGACTTACCATTTTCAGATAATATTACCTTTCTTGCCATTTAAGGTACCCTTTCAAGCTCACAATTTGTGTAACCAAAGTAAGGCTCAGGGTGTTAATTTGAGGTATGTGACTCTTTGGTGGACATATTTGATGTAGTGCAAGTCTACAGTAATATTAAATTTCAGAGGGAAAACCCCAGAAGAAGCTACAGAAATTATCATACGGGACCAAATACCAAGACTTAAAAATATGATGGACCAGAAATTGCTGTCTGTGGAGAACATTGATGTCTTTTGTGAAAAAGGTATATTTGATACAGAACAAAGTAGAAGAATCCTACAAGCTGGAAAGGAAATTGAGCTCAGAATAAATTTCCATGGTGATGAATTAAATCCTATGAAGAGTGCCGAGGTAAGCTAACTGATCAGTTTAATGCTTATCTAACACATTGCTACAGCCAGTCTAATAGGTCTTAGCGAATCTGAAGGCCGCCTTTATGACTGATGTATTAAAATGACATGTATACACAATATATAAATTAACTGGTCTTATAAGGTCGAATGCAGTAAGTTCAATTGATGGAGCAAAGGGTTAATTATAATGTATCAGCTTTAGAGGTTATGTGGCATGAATTAATATGTGAGAATGACTATGTGTTATGAACCACAGAGGATTGGCATATATCAAGGTATTTTTCTAGCATTTACTGAACAGACTGGGGAAAGTAACATAGCCTCAGGACAGTTAACACTGTTATTGAGATTTTACATGGATATCTCCTGAATACAGTTCAAATCACAAGATTCATTGCTCAATATGGAGGCAAATAACCTACAATAGAGCACAGTTGAACTTATATTAATTACCATACTTAATGGTTTATAAGGTGCATCCTGATTTCAGAAATACTTATTACATATTACAATGGAAACATATCCAGAGCCTTTATATATTGTAAATAAAAGCCACACCAAAGCTCAAGCAGTTAGTTGCTGGCTTCCCACCACGGCGGCCCGCGTTTGGTCAAGTGGGATTTGTGGTGGACAAAGTGGCGCTGGGGCAGGTTTTCTCTGAGTACTATGGTTTCCCCTGCCAATCTTCATTCCACCAATTGCTCCACAATCACCCTCACTTATCATCTTGGGCTGGTACAATAGGCCAGAAGTGGCCGCAGTGCAAGGGACTTATCCCACCCCACTAGCAATAAAAAAAAAGCGGTTAGTTGCTGGCTTCCCTCCACAGCAGCCCGGGTTCGAGCCCAGGTCTGGTCAAGTGGGATTTGTGGTGGACAAAGTGGCACCGGGACATGTTTTCTCCCAGTACTTCGGTTTCCCCTGCCAATCTTCATTCCACCAATTGCTCCACAAGCACCCTTACCTATCATCTGGGGCTGGTACAATAGGCCAGAAGTGGCCATAGGGCAAGGGACTTATCCCACCCCACTAGCAATAAAAAAATAATATTGTAAATACATATATGTAATACCATGGCATAACATGTAAAATGTAAATAATATATATTCTGACAACTTACTTGGTAACTTCCAACTGTTAGTCTGACGAATGACAGACCCATCCTCTCATCAGAGAGGGCACCCCAAATGGTCAGGATAGTAACTGTCAAACAGGAACTAATATCTGGTTATGAGCTCCAGATAAGGCTTGACGCCAAGAAAGACTGACTAACAATCAGTCACAATGTGACTTTGACTTTGATTTGTCATATTGTCATTAATAAAGTAACTTGTCAGTAAAAACAGAGCACAGCCTTAAGCATATGGTGAGTTAATCAGAATTTCAGGCACTCAGTCAAGTTCCCATCACAGATGGTGTTACTAAGCAAATAAACGTATCTGCAAATAAGTGAATCTAAATTAATATTAGTAAGTCTGTTTATGCAAGGGGGAAAAAACTTCATAAATATCAAATGTCTAAGTATGTGCAAGAATGGCCGCGCCATTGCCCAAGCGGTCAGTCACTTGCTTCCCACCACGGCGGCCCGGGTTCAATCCTGGGTCTGGTCAAGTGGGATTTGTGGTGGACAAACTGGCGCTGGAGCATGTTTTCTCTGAGTGCTTCAGTTTCCCCTGCCAATCTTCATTCCACCAATTGCTCCACAATCACCCTCACCTATCATCTGGGGCTGGTACAATAGGCCAGAAGTGGCCGCAGTACAAGGGACTTAGTCCCACCCCACTAGCTATAAAAAAAGAAGTGTGCAAGAATATTATTTTCAGTTCAATACCAAATCAAGATGAGAATTTGTAAACATTCTGAGAACTGAGATACAATGAGAAGTCTCTCTGCCAGGCAATTTTTTTTATATAAGAACAATTTATAACACTGGTCACTTTTCACAATGTACTGAACTGTACTGCTATATATTCATTGTCATATCAGATCCCTTTCAGTGAAATATTTCATGAAGGATTGCATTAAAAAAAATTAATATCAAGGCCATTCCATTTTTCACCTTGAGTACAAATAGAGAGAGAGCAAGAGATATTTTGTATTAGTATTGTGAGTCTGGTGAATTGAGTAGTTTCTGTGTTACTGTCCCAAGCACTCAAAAATATTGAAGTTCAGGAATGAAAACTCAAGGTTTCGATCAAGCTATTTTTCCATGATTCCTTGCAAAAAAAAATTTGAGACAAACACATGCCTATAAATTTCATCTTCATCCAGTCTATTCAACAATATGGCATCTCTATATGATTCAGTTGTATTTTTGTATGACTGTAGAACTTCTGTTGCCACCTTCTATTAAAATGGGAGAGAAAAACTTACAAGAATGTATGATGACAATTACTTTCAATAATTTTAATATTAGTAAACTGTAATATTTTACTTCTGTTTCAGATGGGTGCAGAACTCAATGCCACTGCCATAAGCCACTTAGAAATGGTCAGCAAAAAAGGAATAGAGGACATGGCAGTCTCAGGGACAGTGGCAGTTATGCTTCCAACCACCGCCTACCTCATGAAACTTAAACCTCCACCTGTACACGAGTTCATTGAAGCTGGAGTACCGGTAGCAATTGGTTCTGATTTTAATCCCAATGTGCATTGTCTAGCCATGGTAAGTAAAGGCAATATGCAGGATTCCAAAATTTTGGAGGCATAACTCTTTAGATCAGCTTATATTCATAAAATGGAGGGGGTAGAAAGAAGGAAACAAACAAATGATGAAAAATTGCTTCTTGTACATAATGAAAATAAGAGCACATCATAGATTAAATACCTGTACTGACAGTCATTGTTGCAGCATCCAAACCCCAGTGCCAGAAAGAGTCATATACATGTTTCAGTATGATGCTCAAAAGGTAGCAGGACATGAATAATTTATCATGGGCTGCATAGACCTCAGAAAAATTAAAAACGAATAACAAACTTACAGTCAACAATATGGTAAGTAAAATGACATCCAGTGATCTCTGTTAGGCCAGGAGTTCCCAGGTTTGGCAATAAAAGGGTCATTGTCATTACATAAATTTTTTACTTCTATTGTACAACAAACTCCCTGTTATCCAACATTCAAGCAGAAGAAATTGTGGTGCAGTTGGCAAAAATTTAAAAGAAAACTTACCATGGTGTGATGTTACTTCAAGAACAAAGTTACAATTTGCACATGTTTAACTGTCACACAGTACTTCTAGCAGCTGCCATTAGCAACACTGACCATTGTCCTCCCTCATGCAGGTGCCATTACAGTTGTAATGATTACAGTAAAAGTAAGTTGAATTTGTGACTGTTACAGTACATATGATCTTTTGCCCATCATGGAGCTCTCTTCTAAGAATACAGCCACATGAGAACTAAAGCAAAAACCTGTTGCTTGGCTTTGAAGCTGAATATGGAAATATTGCAGATAGCTCAGTTTGTATAGCAACCAGACTATGGGCTGGAGACTGAGTAGGCGGAGTTCCATTCCCAATATAGACAAGAGATTTTCTCTTCTCCATAATGTCCAGACCAGATTTGGGGCCTGCCTACACTCCTTTACAATGGGTGTTGGGGGCTGTGGCTGTGGCAGAGGTGTGAAGCTGACTACTCACATCCATCTAGTGCCAAGGTTAAGAATGACAGAGCTATAACTCTAGCCTATTATATGGCTTCATGGCTTGATAATTAATTCAGCCCGGGCGTAACATTGTCTTACCTTTACATGGGAATACTAAAAGGCTGGAAAATGGTGAAAATTGCCTGAGAGCTGGATTCCATGAGCGTTTTTCTCATGCAACTGGTAGATTCACGTAGGAGCACACCCCATTCCCCATACACACAGGATAAGAGGAAGTTTACTGCATTAAACTTGTTGCTGATGCAGCCCACAGTAATGAACCTGGCTTGCACAATGTTTGGAATGAGCATGCCTGAAGCTCTCATTGCTGCAACTTTGAATGCTGCTGCTTCACTTGGAAGAGGAAGCACCCATGGAGCTATTCAGAAAGGGAGAGTTGGTGATCTTGTCATCATAAATGCTAATAAGTAAGTCAGCAACAAAAGTGTTCCCTAAAATTAAGTGAAATGCCTCACAATTTTGCAATAATACATTCAAATTACATAGAGAAGGGTGGAAATTTTTCATTTTGTAATTCAGATGTAATCATTCAAGCCTTCCACTACATGTGAAAGAGTTTATGAATATAAAATTTTATAGATGGTTTCTGAATATGCTAAGGTGTTACAATTTTGGTAGGAAGTGTATTTACTACTCCATGATTGCAGGCATCAAAACTTAACTTTACATGCAGACAACTAGGGGGAACCAACAAGAACATTTAAATAAGCAACAAAATTATCGTACTTAAACTTTTACAAGCCATGCATGCACATAAGTCAGCTCACCTGGAGTCACAGTTCTTCAGTACAGATACCATTATCCCCAAGTTAAAACCTGGATGCCACTGCTCATAATAACAGAGAATTTAAATTTATTGTTCCAGAATGATAAAGGTTAATTTCAATTACACAAGAAACTTCTTTCTGTTTTTGACTTTATGTCACTATATTTACTTACAGATGATTATTGGATCAAAAATTAGTTGAGTGGCAAGGACATAATGAAACTCCTTGTGGATGTAACATTTTTAGATGTCCAAATGTCTGGGGCACAATTAGTTTAGTCCACTAATCACATAACAGGGAATAGAGCATAAAATAAGTAAACTTGTCCCTATGCTTAATTAATGAAACAGTTAAGCACCATGCCATGAAGGCATGGAACTTTGGAAGTACATGAAAGTGAGTGGTCAGCATCATAGCCTGGCCCACTTTATCACCGGCACTCACCAGAGTCAGTGTAGATATTGTAGAGAAAACAAAAATCTCTCATCCCTGCTGGGAATTGAATTCCAGTTCCTCAGTCATTCAGTTCAAAATCCATCGCTATACTGACTAAGCAGTCCAGCTTCCAGAATAAAGTATAATTCAGAAATTAAATTGGTAACAAAATTGCAGGTTCTCATTCATTGGAACACTATTTTATACAATTTTTATACAGTGATGCTTTAATCAGAGGAGACAGTGCTGAGGTTTTAAGTTAAACTTGTGCTTCCAAGAAACTGTATTAAGGAGGATTATTATATTTGGCAGTGCTGAATGTGTTCCTGTCTCATCATAAAACTGTTTTACTCAACCCAAAATACTGTCTTCGCTACAGAATAGTTATATATTACAAGTTTTAATATTATTTTTGTGGTGTTTATTACTTCATAAATAATTGGATAATGGAGAAAACTGCATGCTGAGGAATTCTTCTACAAATAATATTAGGTTTATCAGATCAAGGTGAATTTATTTTGACATAACATGCAACAAACACGAAAGTGATGAGAAATATGGTAGCAGTGAGTCTAGAGGCACTCCAGCAGTAGTCTTATATGCACCTATATTCCTCCACAGATGTTTATGCTTATATGTCTTTAGTGCTAAAGTAGGGAGGAGAGACATTTTCAAACCAAAGATTTGGAATGAGAGTTTGCATGGAATTAGTAATAATAATGGAGTTGGAGTTGTAAACTTTGCCACATCAAAAAATCTTACTGTCAAAAGTACAATGTTCCCACATCGTAACATCCATAAATTCACTTTGACATCTCCTGATGGAAAGATACACAATCATATCAACAATATTTTGATAGATAGGAGACGGCACTCAAGTATACTTGATATCCGATCATTCAGGGCAGCAGCTTGTGATACTGACAACTACCTGGTGGTGGCAAAGCTTAGGGAAAGACTGGCAGTGAGCAAACAAACAACGTACAGAGTTCATATGGAGAGGTTCTGTCTCAAGAAATTAAATGAGGTAGAGGGTAAAGAGAGGAGATCGAACTCAGGTAATTCTTGCTAACATTGAGTCCAGAATCTTTTGTCTTCTCGTCTGCTGTCCAAAAACATAAAAAATTAGAATGTACAAAACTTAATTTTGCCTATGGTTCTGTACGGGTGTGAAACTTGGTCTCTGACATCAAGGGAGGAACATAGGCTGAGAGTGTTTTGAACAGGGTGTTGAGGAGAATATGTGGACCGAAGAGAGATGAAGTGACAGGAAGTTGGAGAAAACTGCATAATGAGGAGCTTCATAACTTGTACTCTTCTCCAAGTATAATTATAATGATCAAGGCAATGAGGATAAGGTGGGCAGGTCATGTAGCACAAATGGGGGAGACGAGGAATGCATATAGGATATTGGTGGGAAAGCCAGAAGGAAAGCGACCACAGGGAAGACCAAGGCATAGGTAGGTGGACAATATTAGAATGGATCTTAGAGATGGAATGGGATGGTATGGATTGGATAGATCTGGCTCAGGATAGGGACCAGTGGAGGGCTCTTGTGAACATGGTAATGAACCTTTGGGTTCCATAAAATGCTGGGAAATTCTTGAGTAGCTGCTGAATTGGCGGCTCCTCCAGAAGGGCTCAGCTCCATGAGTAAGTAAGTATGTAAGTAAGTAAGAGGGTAAAGCGGCCTCCGTAGTCTAGGGGTAACGTTCCCACCTCATGACTCAAGCTACACGGGTTCAAACCCGGTGGAGGTCATGGGCAGAAAAATTCAGGGAACAAGTCCTCCGGGAGGGACTTTAACCCCTCAAGCGTGTGCGACGCACCATATGCGTCCGGTCAGTTACATGCATCTAGCGTGAATTTAAGCGGGGGTATTTAAATCCCTCCCGGTGCTTTATTTTCGCAAGCATTGAAGGTTTTGTGCAGACATTTACATAAATATTTTTAAATAACAAAATCGCTATTTGAAAAATTCCAAAAAATTATATTATATTTACAATTGTTTACAGTTCATTATTATAAATATGTACTTACATTTTGTCAACCTATTTCTTTTTCCCAGCTCCCCATATCCAGTGTCTAGTAGTTGACCTTGGTGTGGTATTGCTCAAAACAGGCGTCTAGGCAGGGAGAGGGTGTCCCTGGGCAATTTTTACGCCTGTATCAAGTTTGTTTTCTCTTTCCGTTTTTAAATTTCGGTTTTGGGATTTTCTTGAATGAAATGCTGTCCCGTCAATCTCGTACATTCCATGTCGGTATCTGAAGGACGCCCTTTGCGCTTTTCTAAATTCTGTCCATGGGACTTTGCTATGATCTTATTCACTAAGTTTATTCTGAATAACAGATGATCTTTCTTGTTACCAGCCTTGCAGTACTGAATGTAATCATTCAACACTGCCGTATTTACTAAGTGGTTGAATAATTTCTTGTACCACGCTTTTTGCCTTTTCCTTTCTAGCAAGAATGTTTCTAGTAGCTGATCTTTCAAGTTTTTCAGTTCCTACCATATATTTATTATAC